GCTCGGCGGACGCGCGGGGACAGCGAGCTGGGCGCCTCGCTGCTGAGTCCGGTGACGGCGTGGGTGGCTGGGTCCTCGGTACAGCAACCACGTTTCCACAGGGCCGGGACCTTCGCAGCGTTTTAAAACCCAAACCACAACCTAGCAAGTCACTCTCCTCCCGGTGAGCGTGGGCACAGCTGCCACTACTTACTGCCGCAGGACGCTGCGCAGCTGTGCCTGGAGAGCCCGGTGCTTTTCACGAGCCCCGTGAGCTGAAACAGCTGAGCTGAATGTGTTCTTTAAATGTCAACAATTCTTTCTACAAATTTAGGTGTTCGACAATCGGAGAAGTCCTGAATGGATAAGTTTATTTGCACTGTTTGATCATTTCATTCTCAAATTACCAGCATGGTCATGGAAAACTGGGGCAAACAATGAAAAGTTTATAGTCTATATTTGCTGGATGAGTCTGCTGTAAACCAGCAAGTTGTGGTTCCTTGAACCTATTTGTGAAGACTAGAAAATCCTGTTTAATTCAGCGTTCACTGTATCAGCGTTCAAAGTGCTACGAATTTAGACCCAGCTCCACTGTTTAATGGCTGGTCTCACAGCTGGCAGTTTTTTTTTCTGACAAAAGTTGGGTAATTACAGCTCTTACCTCCCAGAGTTTTGCATGAGCTGTCATAAGTGAGGGCTGTGTGTAAACTGTACTGTGCTACAAGAATGTAAAGTCAGAATTTTATAGAGTCCAAAGGGGCCTCAGAGAGTATCTTCGGCCTTCTTATTTTATACTTGCAAGAGCTGAGACCCACATGAGCTTGGCTGGTTCCACCTCTAACAGATATTTACTGAGCACTTACTATGTGCCAAGCCCATCGCTGGCACCAGGGAAGCGGCTGACACGGGGCTTTCCAGCGGATCAATATATAAACTGGTAGCATTTATATTATGTCAGATGTAGCTGTGTGGTCAGAAGGAAAAAAAATGAGGAAAGAGTTAGGGCATGTGAGTATGAGAAAGAGTTTACAGCCTCAGTGTGATCAGTGAATCCTCATTGAGGAGGGGACATCTGAGCCAAGACTTGAGTCAGATGAGGGAGAAGAGGGAAGACCATTCCAGGGGTGGAGAATAAGGAATTTAGGTGGAAATCGTACTAGACAGGGTCCCAGGGTAATGGATTGCTAGATTGTGTAGGGCCTTTGTGGCCACTGCGGAAGCTCTGAGAGTGATGGGAGCCACTGGAAGGTGTCAAGCAGAGGAGTAACATGATCTATTTCACTCTGACCACTGTGTTGAAAGCAGATACCGGGGGACCACGGTGGAAGTAGGGAGACCATGGTAAATAGTTTTAATTTTAGTCTGAATGCAATTTTAAGTCCCTTGGAACGTTTCAGCATTGGTAGTGACATGACATCATTTGTATGATTAAAAAGGTTTTGGCTGGTGGGTGGGTGGAGAACTGATGGTACTGGAAGTAAGGAGAGGAACTAGAACTCGATTGCAGGATTCCAGATAATTCTACATTGCTGGCTTGGATGGGGGTGGAGGGTAGCAGCAGATATAGAGGGAAGGGATGGATTGGGGATATTTTCTGGTGACCCTACAACTGTTGATAGTCTTTACAAGGTGTACCAGTGTGTTGCAGCATGCTTCCCAGTGTCCATGGGAAACACAACCCCTGCCTCAGAGAAATTAGAATGAGCATGTATCTAAACCTGGAGCATTTAGTAGACAATGCAAGCAAATGAAAGACAATTCAAACACTTGAAAAAAAAAAGAGAGAGAGAGAGAATGCCATTAATAGGATTTTGGGGAGTGGATGGCAATTATGTTAGTTGAAGTTTGAAGGTAAGTAAGTCTCTACATTCTGCACTTGACTGAGCAGTGTGCTCACTGACTATGGCAGTCAGTGCCGCCAAAGACATGTGTCCTTTTGCTGGAAGCAGGGACCAGAAACGCTGGTTATGTGCTTGTAAGATGAAGGACAGTGTCCAACCAGAAAGAATTATATGAGACATCTCAAGCTCCATCCTTTCCTTCTTTAAAGTTTTGAGTTGCATGATTGAAGGGGGAAATCGAGTGTTTGTCTCAGCAAGGGAAAACAAAACAAAACAAAACAAACCCCCTCATAACCTTATAAATAAATGTTTCACATTTCTGTAATGTAATACACAGTTGGAGGTGTTCAAATAACATTGTTTATTCGCTCTTCTCCAAATGCTTTATTTGGGAGCATGGTTTTGAGGGGTGGGGGGAAGGTTGTGGTGAGTTGGTTATTAACAATAAACCATAGAAATCTGAGCCGGGCATTAGCTGTTTAAGGATAGACTGTTGTGTTTCTAGAGTTACCTGATTCACAGGGTCATGGGAACGTAGCTCAGGGGATTTTTTTTTTTTTTCTCTTCCACGTCCTCTGAGCAATTTATTTGAGCAGTTTGTTTCCAGTTAAGGTACAAGACTGATGGATCGTCTTCATTATTTGTTAGTTTTAGTTTGTTGAGATGCTAAATTTACCTGGTGGGACAGAGAGGAGCCTTTGAAGGACTTGAACTGTCCGACCCTGTTGGGGTGAGAGGGGGAAGCAAGAATCTGGCCACTTGGTTACACTAGTGTGCAGGTGGTCTGGAGTTGTCTTTTTGTTGTCATTTTAATACTATTTTAATACTATTTAATTTAATACTATTCTCTATGACATGCAAGAACTTACTAACCATGCCTAATGAAAAGTTTAGAACTTAGTTGTATTCAGTACAACAAATAATTGCCTCTGTGTTTGCTGTGTGTCTATTTCTTTATGCAGTCCAGGGCTTTGGAAACATTTAACACAACCTGCTTGGTAACGTGAATCCCTTGGAGTGTTACTGTTTTCAAGTTACTGAATCAGAGTCTCTAGTGGTGGAAACTGGAAGTCTATACTAAAAAAATAAAAACAACTCGGCTCATTTTCTCTCACTTTGGTGAAAGGTGGCTCTCTCCTGAAGATGCTGCTCCCATTGGCCCCTGGGAAGGGGCTGGATCCTGGTCTCACCTGGGTGTGGCCGGGACGTGGGGCTGAGTCCTTATTGCTCCCCACGGCCCCTGCTCTGTGGAGGGTCCGGACTTACCATCCCCTTTCCATCCTCTCTGTAATGGCTCCTGAGCTCCTTGGTCCTCCTCTCCACCCAGACTCGCCGAGCCTTCAGGACTCTGGGATCCACGCGCCGAACCATCGCAGCGCATCCCGTCCCACCTCCCATGGTCACTCCCAGGGCGTTCAGTGTGCTCAGTGTGACCCCGCCGGCCGCTCGGGTCCTGTGTGGGACGTCCACACGCCGCTCCATCACGCGGCCCATTTCTGCCGCATCCTTTCCCTCCTGGTCCCCCAGGACCGCCGCTCTGGAAGCCACGTGGCTCCTTTCCCCGCCCCTGCCTTGGCCGGTACTTGTCCCGCACAGCCTACCGTCTGTGTCCTTCCTTCAGCACTGAGCTGCTCTGACTGTCCTGGGACAAGAACCATTTCTGGGCTGGCTGGGTTGACTTTCAATTGATGCTCACAAACGAACCTAGGAGCTTGCTTTCCTTGTCTCAGCAGTGACTCCTTGGTTCTTTCTCTTCCATCCTGAGACCTCCCACACCCCCATCCTCCACTCTCCTCTGATACTTCATTGAGGAAATAGAAACCGAACTACCTAGAATCAATATCTTGAAACATCTTTAAAAAAAAGAAAAGAAAAGAAATAAAAGTCATTCTATTGTGACCATTATAAAGAATTCAAATGAAAGAAAATATTAGGGTAAAAATTTAAAAATGACTATAATTGACATTGAACAACAACTTCAGACATCTTTTTAGATTGATGGAAGGATGGAGATGTAGATGGATAGTCTGAATTACTTTTTATATAAAGTGGCATGTTATAGGTGCTCCGTGTTTACTCATTTCTTTATAAACTGTTTTCTTTAATCCAAAAAGGAGTTGGAAAAGAGGGGCTTTCATTTCATTATGTCATTTTTTTAAGGCTCACCTAAGGCTCTCCACCACTTTCTATTTTGAGAAGTTTCCAGCACATGGGAAAATGGAAAACAAAGTACAGTGAACACACATACACACGCCACTGAGATTCAATAATTAACATTTTGCTAAATTTGCACTTTTTTCCCTGAACCATTGACTGTAAGTTGTGAACATCATGACGCTGCACTCTGAAATATTTCAGCTTACGTCTCCTGAAATATGAATATTCTCTACATAGTATCATTTTTGCTCTTAACAAAATAATTTCCTAAAATAATCTGATACCAAATCTATAATCATCCCTGTTGTCCCCAAGATGTCTTCAAGGTTGTTTTAAACATTTGAATCAAGATCCAGTCAAGCTTCAAGCAAGGCATAGAATTATGTCTTTTTAGTTTATTTTAATTTAGAAAAGTTCCCCCTTTTCCCCCTCTTCCCGATAGTGACTTTGAAAAGCCCGAGCCAGGTGTGTTGTAAAATGTCCCACGTCTGATTTCTTTTTTGAAGTCTGATTTCTTTTTTGAAGTCTCACTCAACTTTCCTCTGTTTATTTAATGGCAAGTTAGATCTAAAAGCTTGCTTACATTCAGATTAAACTTTTTTTTTTTTTTTTTTTGGCAAGACTGCTTTATAGTTGACCTTGTGAACTTCTGCTTGCATCATACAAGGGGTCGTCCCACCATTAGTCATGCTGGCTGTG